ACGGAAAGTAAGCACTTAGGTTGGGGTTGTCTGGAAGCCCTGGGCATCTTTTAAAAAATATATGGAACTCGCCTGTAAGAGTCCTAGGTCTTTCTTGCCCCTCGGAGAAATCCCAGGTTTATCTCTGACCTTTGTTCCTTAGCTGCCTTATTAATGTACAGCATCCAGAATTATGATTTAAAACAAAAGTCTCTAAAGTATTTTAAGGTGGGATTTAATGTTTAGTAGTGCTTGGAACTTGGGTTTTGTGAAGGTGGAAATGGAGGCCATAATAAGTTTAAAAAAACAAACTAGCTGGAACTTACTTTAGGATTTTTTTTCCCCCCTGAGACATAAGATAGTCATTTTCCTCTCAGAGGTTTGATGGCTTCTTTGATTTCAGCCACAGCTTTGTGACCTCACCTTTTCCAGTTCCCCTGTCTATCTTGATTCTCCTATTTGTCTTGATGACCACTAGGACATCTTTTTAAGCATAGCTTTCTGACTTGCTTAGTGCCGTTTCTGCCTCTGCACCCTCCTATCCCCCCCCTTCTCCAACTTCTACCAGGGGACATGCCTCCACCCCCTGCTCCAGCAACCCAGCTTCAGACTGGGCCACCTGGGCCAGCCTGCACCCACATCCCAGCGGAGAACTGTGCCTCCTCCTCCTGCTCTCGGGACAGCCTCACACCCTACCACTCCCATCGCGGGCGGGTACTGATAGTATACGGATAGCATACAGTGTCTACGCCAGAGGAATGGACTTGGAGTCATTGTGGATGACAGTTTGAAAAGCTTCACTGATAAATTCCAAGGGGGAATTTTCTGAAGGTGAAGTAAGTAGGGCCCCTTCCGATTTGTAGTTACGTCTCTGGTTCTCAGGGCTTATTTGTAGCAAGTTAGAGCCAAGCACAGGTACCAGATGGCTTCGGTTTGTGTCATGTCTTCAAGTCTATATGGAGCATGTCAATGTGCAGACTCATAGGAGGGTGGTGAAGACAAGACACATTCCCCATCCTGGATGGGTAAGGTGAGCCTTGAAACACCTCAGCTACTGTCCAGTACCTGCCTGCCCTCCTTCTAGATTTTTCTACACTCTTCCTCTTCTGCCTGGGACACTTTCTTCACCTCTTCCCTAGCTAGCCCACTTTTTCTTCTCCTCTAGGTCACTGCATTAGTAGTCACTTCCGTGAGCTAACTTTTCTTGACTCCCCACGACTTGGGATCTCCTCTACACACCCCCACCTTGCCCTGCCCTGTTCTGAAACCTGGGACACATACAGTTCATAGTGGTGGGTTAACTTGTCTTTGCCCTTGTCAGACCATGTGCTCCCTGAGGAAAGCACTGTCTATTTTGCTGTTCCTAGTGTCCAGAACAGTGCCTGCCCCAAAGGCATCAACATGTCCTTAAAACAGGCCTCATATTACCCAGCAGTCGCTGTGTGCCACACCCTGTGCCTGGGTTTTCCACATGCTTTCTTTTAAAACCTCACAGAAACTCTACAGCTAATTGTACAGAGGAGAAAAGTGAGGTTGACCAAAGGTACTTGTCCAACGTGATAGCCATGCTTTATACACATTTCTTCCAATACATATATCTAATGGTCTTTTTCTTTTCTTTTCTTTTCTTTTTGGTCTTTTTTTTCTTTATTAAGGTATTACATATGTGTCCTTATCCCCCCACTCATGCCCTCATCCCCCTGGTGTCTGTGTCTATTGGTTAGGCTTATTTGCATGCATACACGTCCTCTGGTTGATCTATCCTTTTATTGACTGCCTTTGAGCGTGAAGGTGGTGCTATTAATAATTACACAGGACAGCAGCTGTAAACCAGGGTTGTCCTGAGAAAACCAGAACATGTGGTTTATAACTCTTTACAGTTGAGGAAACTGAAGCTCACGAGCAATTTAGCCAAGACCGCTGCCACGGACAGGTGGGAAAGCTGGCCCAGACCAGCGCTCTCAAGCATCATGTTATGTAAGCCTCCGGCATTTGCAGTTACAGAGCAAGGCTGCTATCCTTTGTATTCTTCAAAGTCCTCCTTTGATTCAAATATCTCTTATCATGGAAGGCTAAAACAGACCCCGAGATACCAGTTCAAAGAATAACAGGAAATAGGAAAGAAAACTTCAGTTTCTATCAATACTATTAAAGCCAACTGTTTATTGCCATAATCCAGCCTCATTTATCTGTTTGGGGGTGAATTTTACACAAGAGATTGAGTAACTCATGACTGACATGCTTTCTGCTGAGACAATGGGGCCTCTATGAACATTTCTGTGACTCGGTGAACATATCATCAAATATAACCTCCGACAATGGCAGCTGGAGAAATGCCCTATCAACTCAGGATGTATTTTGGCATCTATAGCTGAACTTCCTTCAAATACCTGAATAACCTCTTTAGTAGTACCTGGCACACAATGACAACTGAAAGAACAGAACAGAAATGTCAAGACTAGAACAACACTAAAGTAATGATTTACTCTCTGATTTTGCGGAAGAATAAAAAGTATTTTGTGGATTCCTACATCCCTTAAATGGATAAAGGACTTAAACATAAGATGGGAAACCATAAAAATCTTAGAGGAATCCACAGGCAGCAAAATCTCAGACATATGCTGAAGCAATATCTTCACCGATACAGCTCCTAGACTCTAGGAATGGAAGGTAAAGAGAAAATAAACAAATGGGACTACATCAAAATAAAAAGCTTCTGCACAGCAAAAGAAACCATCAACAAAACAACAAGAAAGCCCACTGCATGGGAGGATATATTTGCCAATGCTATCTCCGATAAGGGTTTAAATAGGCTTTTTATAAATATTTGTAGGATGCTATAGCCAGTTAGTATCCATAACTCCTAAAGCAAATCTTCAAATTTTTATATCCACATTTTAAAAATAGGGAGGGCCTGCGTTCAGTATAGTATGGTGGTTAAAACTGTGGTCTTTGCAAAGCAGTCTGGGGTTTTTAGCATCACTCTGCTAGGAAGCTGTGTGAGGAATAAAAAAATCTACTTCATGGGCATGCTACGAAGATTCATTTACCCAAACAGATCCTGTGCTTGTTGAGTACAGAGTAGAGAGCTTACTTTTATTTTGCAGAGACAATGATAAAAAAGTAAACCCAGAAAATTAGGAGAATTTCAGATTGTGACAAAGGTTAGGAGGGAAATAAACGCAGTGAAGTGGGAAGAGTAATTCTGGTTGGGAGGTGGTGCAGGAGTGTGTGTGTTGTGGGGAGGTGACAGGGAGCCATCAGAGTGAATGCAAAGACTCCGAAGGGGTTGCCTGCAGGGCACGTTCTTGGGGAGGCCCGTATAGCTGGAGTGGAGGGAGATGGGGAGGATAATATTTATTTTATTTTTAGATATAGATTTAGAGTTAACTTAGCAAATTAGTGGTGAAGACAGTTATACATATTAACAAGGACAGTGTAAGATGAGAGAAGCAGGGGCCGGGTCCTGTAGGGCTGGGGTGACGAGCATACCTACTTTCAGAGCCAGGCCAGCACCTTGACCTTGTGAAGACAGTATAACTTTCCATTGGTTTTCGATTTTAATAGAGACTCCAGTGCAGAGAAATATTTCTCGAAGAAAAGCAGCAGTGCAAACACCGTGAGAAATGGCAGTTGTGATCATACAAACCTGACAGTGGTGATGGCCAGGACTCTTGACCTCAGCGGGAGAGACGCAGTGGGGCCTGGAGGGCAGCTGGAGCCTTCTGGGCCTGACCAGAGAGGGCATCTGGTCTCCCATGCAGCCCAAGAGTGGCCATGTGGGGATGTGGGCTGCAGGTGCTAAATCTGCCAAGTTTTACAGAGAACCAGAAATCTGAATTTGTATGGGAAATTCCCCGATTTAAAAATATTGGCTCACGTTTAAGAACAAAAAACGTTGGGGTGGATAGACAAAATGCCAGACTGAAGCAGCTGCTGAAAGCCTTTTTATGCTATGATAAAGGGGATTACATGAAGTAGGATGCACGTTAACATGTTAACCATTTAGCCTTCTGCCCTGTCGTAACCAAGACGGAGAGCGAAGAGGCACTTTTAAATAATTGGACCGTTAATGTGTTTCATTATGTCTTCACCATTAGTTTGTTTAGTTAACTCTAAATCCGTATTAAAAAGTAAGCACCCTATTCTAATTTCAGTGATTAATGTAATCAGCTGTTTCTGCGGATTTGCTTAGTTGTTTGCTCTACAGTTAGGTGCAGTCTATATTCATGGTACAGAAGTAAACATTTGTCTGAGTCATGTGATAAAAGCAGAGAAGATCAAAAGATACACATATTTGGTGACTCATCCTTTTCTTACTGTCTCTGTCCTCTGTGTGGCAGTCTCGCTCCCCTCGCTTGTGCGGTCTTTGGGCCTCCTGGCCAGTGTTGGCTGCAAGTAAGTGAGAAAGAACTGTGGCAAATATGCCATTTTAGACCAGGCAAAGGATGATGGGAATGTAGCCTTACGCTGTGATATCATGTTTAGAGGCTTTTCATCAGCTTTAATGAAATACCAATGTGCTCAGAGCAAGTTATTTATTCCCCCCCCCCCCCCCAAAAAAAAATCTTCATTTAGAACGACCTAACCCACATAGTTTTGTATTACAAGGATTATGTTTGATGTGTTGCAATCCATTGGCAATTGTTTTGGGGAATTTTATTCAGCACAAGCATTTCTGACCATTCTGGCAAACAAGTTGGGTTAATTGCTTGTTCATGTACTTTTTGGTCTTGTTGTCTTTATGTTAACATCCTGGGGCATCATGGAGAGAAACACTGGGAGTAACAAAATATACTTGAATATTTCTGATAGATAAAAAGCTTATAAAATGCATCTCTTCCCTCCCCCCCCCCCCCCCCCCTCCTTCCCCCCCTTCTACTCCATTGCTTTAAAATGAGATCATTTTGTTGTATCCACATGAGCCTAAAGACTTGAAAATGATCTTTCTTTATTAGAAAATCTTATCTGTAAACACTGGTTCTTAATTAAATCAGTATTTCTCTTAATTTTTGTTGCAGATCATGGAGGAAACAAATACACAGATTGCTTGGCCGTCAAAGCTGAAGATCGGAGCCAAATCCAAGAAAGGTAAATTGTGAGAGACAGGGAAATTGGTAGTTTGATAGCAACTTGGAATCCCTACAAGTTGGCTATGGAGAAAATCACCCTTTATCTTTATAATGTTTATCCCCAAATATTTGTCAAGTAGCAGTAGTTTGGAAGGTTTATCATAATTGAAAAATAAGGTACAGCCTTTTATCCAACAACAGAAAAAATATTTTAAAGCATTTTCTTATAATAGAAGGTACTAATAGCAACCTACGTTTCAAGGGTGCCTGCTCATTTGATGGCTATGAATCATAGTAACTCTCCACGAGTAATAACGTATTTTCAGTATATAAACCCTCAATATGTATGTACATGGTAGTCTTCTTGTTTAACTAGAGGTCTTGTTTATGAACCACACAGATTTAATATTGAATGTTTTTCCCTCCTAATGTGATACAAACCTTCGATTTTCCTTCTCCACTGATTCTTCTCCTCTTCTCCTATTAGAGAGTGAAAATCTCCCTAGATTTCTCTTCTAGGCTGGGCATTTCCCTTGCCTGGCCTCTGCTTCATGGATGGTCAGAAATGAAAGTCTGGGCACCCTTCGTTTTCTTTCAAGATCACATAGTATTTTCAAGTGAGCTGCCAGCATATATTTTTATGGTTAGCTTTTCTTTTTAAAGTATAGCCTTAGTCTCAGTAAACTTTGTTGTGCGTACTTTATTAAGAGATGCAAGTAGTCATTAGGAGATAATGGGAAACACCATCAAAGGATAATGCGAGCTGAGCATTATCCCCGTGGTCTAGCTTTTGTTGTTGTTCAGTTTTGTATTTGTTGCCCTTTCTCCCTATGACTCTTATTGCTAACTGGTGCTAGACGCTGCAGCACTTCCCAGTCTCCTTTCTTATTTTAGTCCAATTGCCTTCTTTTAAACTAATTTTATTAGAGTTACTCATCACAAGGAATGCCAACTATGTTACGGTTGTTGTTATGAGTGTTGTTAGCTGGACTTCAGTGGACTGGAATTCTACAGAAACTCTGATCTTGTTATGTTCTTCTTGGTGGTCATGGTGGCAAGAAATGAGAGGCTGGTGTGTTAAATAGTCATAAGAAGACAGGGCGAATATCCCAGCATAATTCCATAACTTTGCATAAACCTTGAATTTGCCAAGTACTATAGGATATATTCTTAGTTCATCTTCAGTGTGTTGAGACATTTTATTTCCATTATGCAGAAGAAGAAACTGTCATTATTATCTACTTATTTGGTTGTTTGCAGCCACTTAAAAATCCCTGGCCTTCTGCATCACTTGAGCAACTTGGGATTTGAACATCAACTAGATTCTGGCTTTCTATTAGGTATTTTTATTTAACGAATGAAATGAGCTTTATTACTATCCTAATAAAAGTATAATCTGCTCAGTGCCTAAAGAAAACCCCTGAGGAAACATGAATGTTAAAGCAATTCCGGACAACTTTGAAAGGTTTATTCTCTTGCTTTCCTCCTCACTATCATTGGAAACTGAGACTTGATTAAATTTTTTATTCAAAATGTGGTGACAGATTTGGAGATTTTAGATAAGATGGAGATGAATAGGTTAGGTTAATGTTTTACATTAGTTTCTAGTATTGACACACCCCATTTAGAATGGCCAACTATCTTCCACATTTTGATTATATGTTTTGCTTCGGAAATAAGACTATTTTAGCAATACATTTGAGGGCATTTAGCGTCATTTCCACATGATTAATGTTAACTTTTGGAATTGTTTCTAAGAATTGATCTCCTCAGGCCTATGTCTAAAGACCACATTATATTTTTTTATTATTTATGAAGTGCTATGAATGCACAAAATACTGTGTGATGAGAAGAATGTGCCAAAAGAAAGAGATTGAGCTCAAGGAAGAGAGAAAATGTCAAGAGTTTTCCTCAGAGGGACTGACCATTCAGAATTTACTTGAGTTGCTCTTATTATTTAAACACACAGCTGCTGAGTCAGTTCTTGGCTGACATCCCTGTTATATATATTCCTATATTATTTTTAAAATGTTTCAACTCAGAGATATAATTTGCATTGAATAAGAGGGAAATGAACATGGCAGGAGGCACTTAGAAGGTAATTATTTGCTCTTTCATCTGATGTGACTGTCTGCCTTTGAATGTTGTAGAGGATGGAGTTGTTGGTCTTTATTTTTCAAGCCCTTTCTTTCCAAACTCTTACTATTCAAGAGACCAAAGAATATGAATGTATCTGTGGACTCGTTCCATGTTTTTGATGATTATTAAATTTTACATCCCAGGGTGATGTGAAGACTTGGAGTATACAGATAATCCCCAGACTGCTTGAGAGACCACACCGCCATGGGTTTGTGCTGTGTTTTACTTTCTAGATTTATGATGCTTATTGGTGGAATATTTGAGCCTAGACAAACATTTTTCATGGCTACTGTTACCACAGTCTGCCCCCTGTTTTACCTTACTGGAATTTGGGCCTATGCTTTTGAAGTGACTTTCCAGTAGACTTGTCCAAACTTTGTTTTTTAAGCCATCAATCCTTTATCAGAGTGGTGTTTGAGCAGCTGTATGGCTCCTTTGGTTGAAGTGCTGATAGAATGCTGCCTGGCAGAAAGGCAGAAAGCCAACAGCCTGAATTTGCCATCAGAAAATTGAGGTTCTTCAGGTTCCGTAGATCTGCGGTGGAACTGGGAAGCCCTGTAATTAACAAGTTCCTCTGGTGGTTCTTACAGTTAAGCTGAATTTGGGAAACAAAAATCTCACCATTTGACATTGAAGTGCGATATAGTCATTAAGGAAGGAGACCATGTGTTCAAAGGCAATGGCTGATGACTGCTGTTGAAAAATAGTTCAAGTCCTTCAGGAGCCACTTGTGGATGACTTCCACTTTGGTTTTCAAAGAACTGCACTTTTACGGGTTCATTTTAAGTTTGTCATCTTTGTAGTCAACGTGGATAAGTTCAGAGTGATCACAACCTCATTGTTCTGTGCCTGTGCGGGATAGAATTTTGGGTAGAAGACTATCCAGTGTTTGCTTCCCCTCTCTACCCTCCATTCTCCTTCACCATCCTTCTCACCCCTTTCTTTCCTCCCGCTCCATTCCCCTTGAACCATATAGAATATGGTGAAAACTGGAATAGAAACATTTTCATTTAGTAAGCAGGACATATATATATATGTTTTTATATATATAAAAACTCGGAGGCTATAGAATTTTTTTTTTTTAATTCTTGAGTATTTGAAATTATGGGAAGGTTGAATCTTCATTAGAGCCACAAAGAACTAAGAAATTAAGACTCAATATAACGGACATTTAAATAGGCAACTCCAGGATTGTTTAGTGGAGGTCATAATTAAGAAAAATAAAGCAATGCATGGTATTTCTTCTGTAAAACCCACGTTTATTTTGAGTAAAAGTAAGTAAAACTGTTTCTAACTCTTGGAGTCAGAATACTAGAACATTCTGCTTTACGTGGAAAAAACTGAGCTTTGTGCTCGTCAGACCAGTATTTATAAGGTGTTTAATAGTGTAAACCTTACATAGGATAACTTCAGGCACTCATTAAAATTTTGAATATGCTATTGTGAATCACAGCCTATTTTAAAATAAACTCAGGTTCATTAAAGTGCAAATAGCATTTTGAACAAGTTTGACTATATTGCCAAATGAAAGTCCTTCCAGACCTGCTTTAACAAATAGATAAAAGTGATTTGTCATGAGAATTTATTAAGCTGGTATGATTGTGATCCATAATGCTAGACGAGTTTGTTCTCTTAAATAAGGTAAACATTTTTCTTGCAGTCGTCTTTTGGCTCTTAATTTGCTCATCAATCTTTTTCTTCTTAGGCTGGCAAAGGTAATTGTGGGTAAAAATTGTTTAAAGTTTTTACGCCAAATTCCAAATAAACGAGGTCAGCATTCATGAAGCTTTACTGTTTTGTTCTGTGAGGGAGTTGTCCTGAAGAGTTGAACTAAGTGGTAGAACTGCTCCCTGCCAGTGTTTCCTGTTTGACATTAGGGTGCCTGAGGCTAGCAGGAATGAAAGGTGTTGACTGGATTGCTGGATGTATCCTGGTTTGGAGGCAATTTGGCACCAAGTTTGGCCATTCTCTTTCTCCTAGAATAAACAAGAGAATCATCAAAATTCCACGAGGTTTTACTCATTTTGGTTGCATTCCATCAGAATAAGAATCATCTAATAGAAAACCTTAGCATGAGAAAAACGGTAGACTGTTCATTTAATTGTTTTCAGGGGAGAATGTTTTACGATCCTCATACTTTGGTTGGGTGTTCATGTTGGACTCTGTAACGCGGTACTGCTCAGACAGCAGAAGGCAGAGAAGAGGCATGGCACGGTACACTGGACCACCGTGCTTCCAGTGGGGGATTGTGACCCATTAGTGTATCAAAAATTAACTTAGGTGGTCACACCAGCATGTGAAAAAACACAACTGGCCCTGACCGGTGTGGCTCCGTTGGTTGGGCATTGTCCATGCACCAAAGGGTTGCTGGTTTGATTCCTGGTCAGGGCACATGCCTGGGTTGTGGGCTCGATCCCTGGTGGGGGTGCACTTG